CCTTACTAAGTTGCTGAGACTGGCCTTGAACTTGTGATCCTCCTGCCTCAGCCTCCCATGTTGCTAGGATTATAGGCATGTGCCTCTACACTGGGCTACCTTCCAGGTTTTAACTGTTGGTTGTGGCCATCTACTGCTTGAGCTGATAGGATTTTTTGAGAGATAATCACTGAGAGTATTGTGATCGGGTGAGAAAAGCCAGAGTTGTTATAAGAAGGCCTGTGGACTGGGGAAGTAGCTCAGTGGTGGAGTATGTGCTTGGCAGGCATGAAGTTATTCAAAAGTGGGGGTGGGATTTGTTCTCTTGGTAGTGCTAAGAAGTGGCAGCAAAGCCTACATTTGGGTTATGAGAGTCACATTTTTGGTGTAAAAAATTGCTATGGATATAATGACTGTGTTAAAGAATTTGGAAAGGGGACAGTATTACCTCTTAGGATGAACACTTTTTCCTGTAATTCCTCTATATGAGGAAAATTGGGAACTTTGAAGTTCTTTGTTGGTGAGGATCTGAGTAGATAGTTTTGTCAAGGTCATCCATAGTAACACTACTTTTTTTTGGGGGGGGTAGGTACTGGAGATAGAACTCAGAGGCACTGGATCACTCAGACCTATTTTTGTATTTTATTTAGAGACAGGGTCTCATTGAGTTGCTTAGCACCTCGCCATTGCTGAGACTGGCTTTGAACTTGTGATCCTCCTATCTCAGCCTCTTGAGCTGCTGGGATAACAGGCATGTGCCACTGTGCCTGGCTCCCCCTTTTTTAAAAAAATGTTTTTTAGTTGTCAATGGACCTTATTTTATTTATTTATATATGGTGCTGAGAATTGAACTCAGGGTCTCACATATGCTAGGCAAGCGCTCTACCATGGAGCTACAACCACAGCCTGATTTCCAGTCCCTTTTATATTTTATTTTGAGGGCCTTGCTGAGGCTAGTTTTGAATTTGTTTGTGATCCTTCTGCCTCTTCTTCCCTAGTCTCTGGGATTATAAGCATGTACCACTATAACCAGCGATAGTAATAGTTCTTGAGTGTTGCAACTGGCTAGGAATTTGCTTTTTTTCAATATTGAGGACTGAACCAGAAGCACTCTATTTCTGAGATACATTTAGCCCTTTTTAAAATTTTGAGATAGGGTCTCATGACTTTGCCCAGGTTGGCCTCCAATTTGCAATCCTCAAATCCTCAAATAGTTTCCCGAGTATTTGGGATCACAAGTTTTTTGGATTCTCAAGCCCAAAAGGGAGACATGTAACTTTAAAAAATGGAAGAGGAAGCCAGGTGCTGTGATGTATGCCTGCAGTCCTAGTACTCAGGAGCCTGAGGCAGGAGGATCATGTGAACATAAAAGTTTAGGACCACTCTGGGCAACTAAGCAAGACCTCATCTTTAAAATAAAAGATGGCATGTTCACTGGAGAAAAGGAAAATGAGGTGAATTCTACAGAATTTGTGGAATTTATTTCTTCAGCAACCCCACTATCTTACCCTACTTTAGGTTTAGGAATAATTCCCAAAGCAATCTGCCTTTTTTAAAATTGATTTTGAGTTTTGTCAACTTTTTGTTAAAAACATTCAGTCAGGTATGGAGGTGTAACTCTGTGGTAGAGTGCTTGCCTAGCATTTGGGAGGCCCTGAATTCTATTCCTGGCACTCTACACATACACACACACACACACACACACACACAGACAGGAACAAAATCCAGCCATTTAAAGACAACTGAAATTTTTCCTGACCACCTGTTTTTTTTTTAAATATTTATTTTTAGTTTTAAGTGGACACAATATCTTTATTTTATTTTTATGTGGTGCTGAGAATTGAACCCAGTGCCTCATGCATGCCAGGTGAGCGTGCTACCACATGAGCCACATCCCCAGCCCCTACCTGGTTTTTGTATGTCTCTGAGGTACTATCAGTCTTTCTGCAGAGCAGAGCAAGCCAACAGCAGAGTTTACAGTATTTCCTCTAATTAGTTGAGAATGGCTTTCAAGTGTTGTATTTTGCAAACTCTCTCCCATGCCAGGAATGTAGGGACTACCTCCTTTAATCAAAAACTAGGTCAGGCTGAGTATGGTACCGTGTACCTGTAATCCCAGCAATTCGGGAGTGTGAGGCAGGAGGATTGCAAGTTTGAGGCCAAACTTGGAAACTTAACCGGACTCAGTCTCAAAATAAAAATAAAGAAGGGCTGGGGATGTAGCTTATTGGTAGAGTACCACTGCCTCTAGGTTCAATCCCTAGTACCTGCCCCTCAACCCCTGCCCCAAACAACAAACAAACAAAACCCTGTACCAGGTCAGATGATGCACTCATGGACTTCAGTTGGCCAGAGCTAGGTAGTTTCGGAGTCTTTGCTGCATTACTGGCCCAGTTTCATGTCCAAAGCCATTGTAAAGTACTGGTGCTAATCTGGCCATTGGATTTATTGATATCCTTTCTTTCTTTTTTTTAAAAATATTTATTTTTTAGTTTTCGGTGGACACAATATCTTTATTTTACATTTATGTGGTGCTGAGGATCAAACCCAGTGCCTCATGCATGCTAAGCGAGCACTCCACCACTGAACACAATCCCAGCCCCTTGATATCCTTTCAATGTTTTGGTAGTACAGTCACAAACATGTATGAGCTTATTTATAAGATAAATTCTTTTTTTTTTTTTTAAGATAAATTCTTAGAAACAGAATTAAGTTAAAGTTTAACAATTTGAAAACAATGTGAATTGCTCTCCAAAGATGGCTTTTTAAATTTTTATTCCCATCTGTAGTGTATGAGCTTGTTTCCCACATCTTCTCCACTTTGTATTATCTCTGCTAGTGTTAAAAAATGGCATCAGTGGTGGTGGTAGAGAGCTTGCCTAGCATGCACAAGGTCTTGGGTTTGATCCCTAGCACTAAAAAAAAAAAAAAAAAAAAAAAAAAAGCAAAGAAAAGAACATATCTGTGATTGCAGCTTGGGTTTGGTTTACCTTTGGCTTCAATCCTTTGGCCACTTCCAATCAAACAGTCCTTGATGTCTGCTCCCTTCTCGATCACAGCATTGTTGCAGATGACGCTGCCCTGGATGTTGCTTCTGTAACACAACAGCCAAGTTAGAGTGCCCAGGACTCTCATCACCATCCTTACCACTGGAGGTTCAGGATCCTCCCAAAACCAGTCCTGTTAATGGTTACATGCGTCAAGTTATCACTGGAAGACAGAATGGCTGACTAAGGGAGAACTTGGCTTTAGAGAATTCTTGAATTAGAATATGCACATAATGATCTTTCTCCAAGGCCTAAAAAGAACAGATATTTTCATTTCAGTTTTTTAGAGTACCCCAGACTTTAGGGTTTAAATAGCATTCAAATTCTCTTCCCCCTTCAATCTGCAGGTAGAAGGTGAGGCTGGTTCTTGGGCTGACCTATCACTCCTGCTTCTTAGCTAAGAATATATGACAAATTTCACTTGAGATTCAAAAATCATGGATCTTCCTAGGGGATTAATTAGGAAAACAATGGATTACCCACAGCTCTCACCATTCAGGAAGAAAAAAATAAAGATATATATATCTTTTTATAAAAAAAAATATATATATTGATATCCTTTCAATGTTTTGGTAGTACAGCCACAAACATATATGAGCTTATTTATAAGATAAATTCTTAGAAATGGAATTAATGGACTACCTGCCTTAATTAAAAACTAGGTCAGGCTGAGCATGGTACCGTATACCTATAAATTCCCAGCAATTGTCAAAGTTTAACAATTTGAAAATGATGTATGTATATATGTTTGTGTATGTGTGTATGGTGTGTGTGTGTGTGTGTGTGTATGTAGAGATCTATCTATCTTTTTTTTTTTTTTTGGGCAGTGCTGAGGGATTAACCCAGGGCATCACACATGCTAGGCTAACACTCTACCACTGAGTTACACCTCCAGTCCCAAAAAGGATATTTTAGAAACCAGCTTTCATTTCATAAAAGATTATTCCAAATCCTAAAGTACATTCTCTAGAGTAGCAGTGGTTCTTAGCATTTGAATATATTTTAAAAGCAGCTTCCTAGCTCCTGAAGATTGGTAGGTGGGAGAAAAGGTCCTTTTGAAAAATCATCACTGATGTTTACTGCATTTCTACTCTATGCCAAGGACTGCGCTAAATAAATACTCAATGTATATTAGAGTAATTTCTTTACAAATCCAGTCATTTCATCTGAAAAATCACCTGGGCTGTGTAAAAAATAACAAATGAAACCACACTCTATGTTTTGAGTTCCCATCAACCATTTTAGTAGGTTTTGGATAGGAACCTTATGTATTTAATTGGGAAAAAACCTTCCTAGATGATTCTGGGTATACCATTTTTATCTCTGATGTAGTTAAAATAGCAATCACATTTTGCAGAGGAGGTAACAAATTTAGAGAAGGTAAACCATTTACCCAAAACTACATAACTGCTAAGTGACAGATTCTAATCCAAGTCTGCCTGACTCTAGGATCCAAACATTAGTCATAATGCAATACAAAGAAACTAAGAGGAGAAAAGACCCCAACTCTGAGTATCTCTGAGTCAGAAATGTGAAGAGGCAAAAATGGGCAGTTGGAGGGGAAAAGGAGTATAGGAAGGTGTAAGTACAATGTAAACAAAAATGAACCAAACCAACTAAGTAAAAATCCTTAAGAAACCCAATGGAGGCATGGGAAATAGGAAAGAGGACATTCCAAAGACTGAAAACATTGATACACGGGCTAATAAAAAAGATCCTTCCCAAATGCCAAAACTTTTATGCAAAAAGGAATTCTAGCACTTTCTGGTATTCCAGACTCTTTTAACTTTCTAACTTGCCCAACTTCACAAAGCAATCTTGTCAGCAGTTAGGGAGGTTCCTGCTTCTTCAGGAAAATTCCCCCAAATAGGGTAATAAGGAAATAAGAAAGCCTTGGATGGAGGCTCCTGGGACAGAGCTAGCTTGCAACTAGTTACTAGTTTATCACTGAAAAGTCTCATTTCTTTTTCCAAGGTGTTAGCAGTAGTAAAAGAGCCTAAAGATGCATGTTCTGGAGCCAGACAAGAAGTAAACAGTCAGCAGGTAAGAAACAACAAACAGAAACTCAAGCAGTCATAATTAAAGACTAGTAAATAGCTATACTGAAATTTAGGGTTTAAGTGGGAATCTCTTAGCCAGGCGTGGTGGCACACACCTGTAATCCCAGCAACCTGGGAGGCTGAGACAGGAGGACTGCAAGCGGTTAAGTGCCCTGGGAGTAAATCCCCAGGACCCCCCCCCCCCAAAAAAAAAAAAAAAAAAAAAAAAAAAGGGAACCTTTTCTGGAAGGATGAGGCTAGAATGACAGGTCAGATTTCCATAGCAATGGACAGTCTGATTTTCCTTATGTTTAGCAGATTTGATTGGGGTCTTTGGGAACCTCACATATTACTTATCTCATCTAGTTTATGCATTAACTCTTCCTGAGATGTATAAACCACTGTAGAGTCTGTAATGTGATAGGGAAAAGTGGATTGGTTGATGGGAAGCTGGAGTTTCTCCTGAGACTCCAGGTCAGTGGATCTATTGGAGGCTTTGAAATGAACACCTAAGAACAGTTTACCAGGAGTGAAGCTCTTCTCTTAGTTTGCTAGTATCATTGGTGTGATCACCCAACCATTAGCCAGGTTGAGGTACTTTGGGAAAATTAACACAGCATATCTTTCCCTCTGTCCAGAAAGGAACTCTAGATCAAGGAATTTATTTTATTTTTTTTTCTGGTGCTGGGGATCAAACTTAGGGCCTTACTAAACATGAGGTTGTACACTGAGCTACAATCTTAGTCCAAAGATCAAAGATTTTATTTGTGTGTGTCTGCTCATGCTAGAGGGGATGGACAGATTAGGGCTAAATCAACCAAGCCCTTTCTAAGCTGCCAATGCACAGCAAGGACTCTTCTGCTCAGTACTTAAGAGGGAAGGTGAGTTTCTATAGCACTGGTCCCAGTGTCAGAACTGTAGTTTTTGCAACTAAGTTTTAACTTTCAGCTTGGCACTAAGAACTCTGCTCTAATGCCTAGCTATATTCTCTAAGAGGTTGTCTAGTGATGACTAAGACTAATGGAGATTTGGTCCTCAATTCTCCTTAGTGGGATCATTTTTTAAAAATGTTATTTTAATACTAAGGATTGAACCCAGGGGGTGCTTTACCACTGAGCTGTATCTCAGGTCCTTTTTATTTTTTGAGATGGGGTCTTGCTAAGTTGCCCAGGCTGAATTAGAACTTTCAATCTTCCTGCCTTAGCCTCTTGAGTCGCTGGGTCCTACCTGGCAGGTGGGATCAAATTTTAATTAAAACTGCAGGCCTTGGGAAGTTATCCCAAAAACTGTAATGCATTAGTGAAGAAGAGACCATGAGAAAAAACAAAAGCTTATAGCAAGATCCCTGCTAAAATAGTGGTACATACTTGTAATCCTAGAAACTCAGGCAACTGAGGCAAGATGATTGTGAGTTAGAGGTCAGCTTGGATAATTTAGTGAGACCCCTTCTAAGCAACAACAAAAAAAGATCCCTGCCTGGCCAGGCATATCACACTATACCATATTATGGCATACCACATGGAGAAACCCCAACTGGGGAAGAAAGGGAACTTCCAAATTCTCAATCCTTTTTTGGATTGAGATAAAAGATAGGACTTTTCTTCAGTTCATTCCAAGGAAAGAACTGATATACTGATATATAGTCACATATACTATATATAGTGTCTAGTATGTCTCAGGAATTGCATGTAGCACTTCATATTCATTTTGTAGCTTAGTCCTTTTAGCAAACTTGCAGGACAGTATTTATTTATTCTTTTAGAGAAAACTGAGGCTCACGGAGGTTAAACATATATCCAAACCTATACATGGTGAGTGACTCTCCATTGTCACAGGTTCCTGCCTCAGCTGTTGACTAGGTAGTATTTGGCAAGGAGCCAGGAAAGTTCTCAGTAACTCTGATGATAAGCAGGTTGTTTTCTTCTCTGGGGGTTAGTTAGCAGATTTTCTAAACCTACTTATAATCCTGGAGGAAGAAAAGAATATGGAATTGGAGCTACATGAAACTTTTCTAGGTCACTTAGTTCTGCTTTAAAACAACTTGCCACTTTGGCCCAAAGATTATGGCTGAGTTGCCCATATCTGAAAGGTGCCTGGGAGCCTACTAACCTTAGCTCAAGGGGTCCTGGTCCAGCTGTCCCTCTAGATGAAGCATATATTGCTTTTAATGAAATATTTCAAGTACAAAGAATACCTATGTGCTTAAGAAATAAATAATACAACCTGTTGTGTTCCTCTTTGTGTTTTCCTTCCCTCCCCCAAGAGGTAATCACTACTTGTGCTGTTTATGTTCCCAAGCATTTTTACCACATATATTAGTAGACAACATATAGTATTGTTTTGCATACTTTACAATGCTATCATAATGTCAGCATTTATAGCACTGAGACTGCTATCATTCTCTATGTGTTCATCTGCAACTTGCTTTTCCCTCTTCAACATCATATTTGTGAGATTTATGCAGGCTAATTCATGCAATGAGATATAAAACTTGAAGAAACAGCTCATCTTTTCCTTGCTGCTGGTCATTTTTGCTCTTGGGTCCTTTGATCAAAATGTACTGGTTCCAGTGAGCAGGTAAAAAATTTTCTCCTTTTAGTTCTATGTACTTCCCTATACAAAGGTTTGGTGGTAAAAAATGTCATCTTCCTAAGAAATCTGAGTCCTTATATTCCCTGAGCAGAGACTAAGTAAAAGAGAGGTTTGGGGAAAATCAAAGCAAAGATGTAAGAACCTTAGGGAATTAAGTTGTGAAGTTCTCCATCTAAGATGATGGGTTTAGTGTAAATGGTTCAAAGGTAGGAAAAGAATCAAAACCCTTAGGAGCCCTTTAAATCCAGGGTACCTTCCTCATGTTAGCATAATCTAGTGTTTTCAAGAGTATAAATGAGGAAACATGGGTGGATAGTTTTTAAAAAATATATTTTTAGTTATTGATGGACCTGTATTTTTTCAGATGTTAATGAACCTTTATTTTATTCATTTATTTATACACAAAACTGAGAATCAAACGTAGTGCCTCACACATGCTAGGCAAGCACTTTACCACTGAGCTACAATCCCAAGCCCCTCTCTCCCTTTTTTTTTTTGCTGCTGAGGATTGAACTTAGAACTTCCACTGAGCTACATCTCCAGTCCCCAAATTCTTTTAATATTTTTTCTTTTTATTGTGTTGCTGGGGATCAAACCTAGGCTTCTCACATGCTAGGCAAGTGCTCTACTCCTGATCCACCCCTATGTTGTTGTTTACCCCTCCTACATATTAAATTTTATACCTCAAACTACCAATTAGTTTATTAATAAGCTTCACTTCTTACTAGGCTATATTGTTTGCAAGCAGTTTTGCAAAAAGTTCACAGGTGCCACATCTTCTGCACCTTGGAATATTTCTGATGTTTTAGGATTCTTAGATTGCAACTCTTATCCCTCTAAATTCTCTAAATGTTGTTTCATTGTCTTCTGGCCCTAAATGTTGCCACAGAAAAGGTATACCAGATTTTCTCCCTTCTATGCACTTGAATAGCTTTTCCTTTCAGTTCTGTATGCCTTGATATTTTGCCAAAAGGATGCTGGCCATTCTCCTTTACTTCACCCATGTTTCCATTCTTCTTCTTCTTTTTTGGTACTGGGGATTGAACCCAGAGAGGCTTAACCACAGAGCCACCTCTCAGTGGCCACCCCCACTGCCTTTTTAAATTTTTTTTTTCAGTTGTAGTTGGACACAATACCTTTATTTTATTTATTTATTATTTTGTGGTGCTGAGGATTGAACCCAGTGCCTCGCACATGCTAGGTGACTGCTATATTGCTAAGCCACAACCCCAGCACCCCCAGACTAATATATATATATATATATATATTTTTTTTTTTTTCCATTGTTGATAGACCCTTATTTTATTTATTTACATGTGGTGCTGAGAATCGAACTTGGTACCTCACACCTGCCAGGCAAGTGTGCTACCACTGAGCCCCAGCCCCAGCCCCCTTTATATTTTATTTAGAGAGAAGATCTTGTTGAGTTACTTAGGTCCTTGCTAAATTGCTGAGGCTGGCTTTGAACCTCCTGCCTCAGCCTCCCAAATTGCTAGGATTATAGACATGTGCCACCATACCCAGCATGTTCCCATTCTTTATACTCACTGAATCTTGCTTTTTGGATTTTATCTAAATTTCATTGTATTTGGTAGATATTCTTTAGCCTGTGTATGAATATGTGACAGTTATCCAGTTTTAATAATAGACGAAAATTCCTTCTTTTTTTCAAGAAGTAAACAGGGATCTCTCTTTAACTTTTTTTTTTTTTCTTCCCCTTCCAGCATTGGGGATTGAAAATGTTAGGAAAGTGCTCTACCACTAAGTTATAACCCCAACCCTGACAGGGATCTCTTGACAGATATTCAGCCAATATGGTAGGGGAGTTAAACCAGGGATCCCCATTTGTTGTTTAATAAATACTTCCAAAGTATATAAAAAATGCAGTATTAGCTGGGCATGGTGGTACACACCTGTAATCCCAGTGACTTGGGAGGCTGAGGCAGGAGGATTACAACATTGAGGCCACCCTGGGCAATTCAATGTGATCCTGTTTCCTGTGTTGGAAACTGAACCCAGGGCCATGCAGAGGCTAGGTAGAGCATTCTACCATTGAGCTACAGCCCCAGACCTAAAAAGTGTTTTCCTATTTGAGGAATTTATAGTCTGATTAAAGAGAAAATAAAGATGCAATAAGTGTCCCATCGTCACATGAGCATTGAAAGTGTTTTGGGTGAACAGGGAACATAGAGGTGGGGGAAATAATTTCTGGCTGGGACATTTTGAGAAGGCTAGAAGGATAATTCAAAAGTTGGAAAATGTACTGTATTTTAAGAGGGGTAGAATTTCTGCAGGTAAAGATCTCTAAAGGGAGGCAATTCAGGCAGAGTTTTAAGCATAGAGGGAATGGGGCTGGGGTTGTGGCTCAGCGGTAGAGTACTCACCTAGCATATGTGAGGCACTGGGTTTAATCCTTA